TTAAAGCTTTGAAGAATTTTGTGAAAAGGGACAAAGAAAAAATGAAAAGAGATCGTTCTAGGACATTATTTGAAGGGACTAACGACCAAGTTTGTTAAAAGTAACAGGAAGGAATATAAAGTTGGTTTATTTGAACAAAGTTAAAATGTTGTTAACTCTGTTAACCCTTAATGGACTTTTGCTGCCATCAGGACTGAAATGACAAGGTTTTAAGGATTTGTTTATACATAAGAGATGGGATATGGGAAGAAGAGATCATTTGTTGTATTTTAAGAGAAGGTGACAAGTTACCAAAATGGTTTATACTTGTGATGAAGGGGGAAGTCATTTCCTTATATATTTCTTTTCTTTACTATATTCTTATTTTTCTTTTCTATTTTTCCTATTTTCTTTTTCTTTTCTGCACCTTCTATTTTTCTATTTTATTTTTTTAGTTTGTATTTTTATTGTAATTATTTTAAATAAAATTACTATTAAAAATTGTCAGAAGAATGAAATGTTGCATCTTTACTCTATTTTCATATAAGAAGGTATCAGTTACTACATGCTAGCTATATCACCCGCTACAGTGTCTTAAGTGTCATGCTAGCAAGTCATCTACCTGAGATCCTAAAAAGTTATGGAACTGATTCACATGTAAGGAAAAGCCAACTTCCCCCAACTGGGGACTTTCCAGATATATGGAATTCAACTGTCAGATTCTTGATATAGTGGCTAGGTGCCCAAGTTGGGAAGGGTTGGGGTAAACCATAATGTACTTTGTATGCTTTTGGCTTATTTTAGTAGGTGCACCTTCTGTTTTCTTATTGTTCTTTTATTTTTTATTTATCACCCATAAAAGCCCTTGGATAGTACAAAAATATTAAAACTCTCATAATAAAAACATGAAATTATAAAATCTTACATTACAATAGAATTAAATGATCATTTTGGAAAAGAGTTATTTATTTAACAAACCTGTATTGGTAAATTACCAATTAAATATGAAAGGCAATTGAAACAAGTGTGTTTCTAAATCCTTTTTAAATATTAGTATGACTGTCTGCTCCCATATTATCCTCTGGGCAGCTATAGAGAAAGCTCAACCCAAGTGGAAGTGAAATGGACTGGCTGCTGTTGGAAAAAGGCCTCCCCAAATGATCTTAGTGGTGGGTGGGAATCTTGCAGGAGAAGGCATTCTCTCAAGTCTCCTAGTCCAAATCCACTTAGGGCTTGTTTAATTTCTTTTTTTTAATTTCTTTTAAATTCATTCATTCATTTTAATTTATATGGCCACCCATTTCTCTATACTGACTCTGGGTGGCTAACAACCAAAACAACCAAAACATAACATTAAGCAACAATAAACCTCAACAAATAATTCCCCCCCTTACACATACACACACCCACACACACACTTCTATAAAGTGGCTGCTGCAAGTAACACCCATATAAAAATACATACCACAACATCTCACAGACAGACTAAACTATTTAAAAGAACCAAGGGGAATGTAATCTGGATGTGTAAGTGGGATATGTCCATTCCAGAAGGAAGTAATGAGTGAATGGAAGTTGTAGTGGTATTTCAGGGTACTGGGTGACCTCCAAAATCACAGTACAGGCCCACTAAGAGTCCAGTAGTGGTGAGGAAAGAAAGTGGTTGGACTCATTCCAAGCCTCAGTTGAACATAACAGAGTGATATCTTATTACTGTAGTATACATCTAGTGAGAAACACATCGTGATCAGAATAAAAAGCTTCTCAATGAAATAATGATAAGCAGTGTGAATGGGTGTGTGTCAGCCATTTTTTAGTTTTTCCTTTTTGGGTATCCCTGTTCAGCTTCTGAAAACCAGGATTTTCTGGAATATACTGTAGCAGAATATCACCAAGACTGGATAATCTTCATGACTCTTCAAATTGTGTGATTTAAAGTCAAATACAGAAAAATTCAAATCAGCTTTTGATTTATTAATGCTCAGGGTTTTTCCTTACAGGCATTATATTTAATAGCAACTAATGGCACCCCAGAGCTGCAGAGCCCAGAGAAACTGACTCCAATATTCCGTGACTTTTTAAATAGTTGTTTGGAAATGGATGTAGAGAAAAGAGGATCAGCCAGAGAACTGTTACAGGTAAAGGAGCTAAAGTGTGTAAATTAAGAATGTTAAATATAAATAAAATACATTTTCATTAGGGGAGGATCTGGGAAGTTTCCTAGTCTGATTTCTTGTTGCTGCCTTATTTCTTTTGAATTCTTGGATAGCTAGATGCAATCTTTCTGTTCCACTCTCGTATGCATTAATATGTACTTTCTTGGAAAGAGAAGAGTGTGTGTGCTTCCACAACCAGTGGAAAACAGACTATTACCCTTTCTCTTCCTTTGGTATACTGCAGAATCCCTACCACTCTGGCCTAAATACTATAGGATTTAGTAATTGTGTCAAGATGCTATATACCTCCACTTGTTCCTTTTCCACTCCAGCTCAAACTGAAATTAAAAGTCTGTCTTTCAAATGTAGATGCATGATTCAGTTTGCTGTTACAGGAAGACTGTCATGAAGGAGAGAAAGGAAGACAACCATATGGCCTTCCTAAGATGATGGTCTTGTGCTTGCAAAAATGCAGCTAAGAATAGTCACTGTATAGAAAGATGGCATCTGCAGTTACTTTAGTGGAGTTCCTTAGAATAGGAAGAATTTGCAGACTTCTCGGTCTTGTTCCATTCATGAAAGATATAGTTAGTGCCATTTAACAAAGTCTGAGAGTTAAGAGCCACAATTTATTGGACTTGCGTTCACCCAATCACTGTTCATAGCATAGCAAGGTAGTTATAATCACATTTATTTAAATAAAATAACTTCTGGCAAGGAAATGGTGAAAGAATGTTCTTCCCTCATTGTAACATCCATCTGTGGAGTTACTTCTGTGAATTAATGTTTTGAGTACTGAATCTGCCCCAGGTTTGCATGCTTGTTCTTTGTCTTAATACACTATCTTTGTCAGTTTTCTCAGGCACCCATATGAACAATATAATGTTTGTGTATAATCTCATTTTTGGATTGTTTTCAAAGTGTTAGTTTTGAAATGGTATTTTGAAGTATTTATCTATTAAAACTTCCTGTTTCTCTTTCCATTAGCATCCTTTCTTGAAACTGGCAAAACCTTTGTCAAGTTTGACACCATTGATTCTAGCGGCCAAAGAAGCCATGAAGAGTAATCGCTAGCATTGCTGCTGTGGCCTTCATCATTCCTGGTTTTGTTTGTTTGTTTGTTTTGTTTTTTGTTTAAATCTTCATAATATTCAAGTTGTTGCTCTTGTTAGGGATATTGAAAGTCTGCAGAAGGGAAAAAATTCACCTCAGCTTGAAGATACAAGAGAAGAAAAATGATGATAATAGTGAACTTTTCTGCAAGTCTTGAAGAAGTTGTAAACTGAATCACTGGCCTTTTCACCACTTCTGCAGACAACTCAAATATATTTTGCTATGCCCGTGAGTTGTTTTTCAGTGACTTTGTTGTAACAGTTCCCACCTGTGCTCTGATTTGAGCACTTGCAATACTTGAACAACTGATTCAAGCTTTTAGAGGGAGGCATTACTTTAATCTGCTGATCTTTTTTCACCTTAGGTTTCCTTTGCTAGGCAATAATTCAAACTATGGGAACTTTTGAGTTATTTAAGACAGATAGAAATGTGGAAGTTCCTCTTTCTCCTTTTAATATGTAGTTAGGTATAACCCTTTTGATGTTAACCATTCAGATACCTGGGGACTGTAATTATTTAGTAGCTGTTCGTAAACAAAGAACAGAACATAGGCAGAGTGGAAAGAAAGCGGCTCAGCACAATTGGATGTAGAAATTTATGCATGGACTTTGTAATATAAGGGAAAGATGCCTCTGAATGTTGGAGATTGAATGACTGTTGGGTAATGGGAAAAGTCTTTATTTTCTTTTCAGTACTGAAACCATCCTTTGAGCTTGGGAAGAAAACCCCAATCCTGTGAATTGTCTTCCACTTGTTACTTACCTGTATAGGCTTATTGGTAACCTTTTAAAGCAATGTCTTGAAAGTGTGTTGTTTTATAGCAAAGTGCTTTATCCATGTTCTGACTTGGGCTTTGGGCTTTATGCTGGTGCCTTCTGATTTTTAAAATTACCCTTCTTTGTATTAAATACATTTTGTATATGTTGTACATTTCTCTCCAAAGCAAATTTGGAATTGTCAGGACTAAGTATTAGAGGTCTCTTTCTTTATATATATAAAAATATAAATATAAATATATACATATTATTTCTACTAACAAAAGACCCAGCAGATTTGCAAAAATGGAAGATCCAAGACTTTTTATATGATTCAGCTGACTAAAGCCTCAGAACACCAGAAGTGCTATTTTGTACAGATAAAAATGGGAGATAATAGAATAATTTAGGTTCATATGATTGGAATTGGCTTGTGAATGACTAGGGAAATTTGTCTTGGTGATCCTTTCTCTTCAAAAACTTTACTATTATGATTAAGGAGAAAAACAAGATGAAATGCCTCTCATGATAAAAGAAACTAATTAAAAAAATAAATCAAGTTAACTTCTTGTTGATGTGGCAAGATGTAACTTGGAGACTCTCACATTGCTCCAATCTAAAATCATTGTATTTTTTTTTTTGTACAGCTGACCTTGATAGAAAATTTCTGAATGATAATGTGCCAAATAATAACATAAGACATTATTTAATTTGGTGCTCTAGCTTTCTTGCATTCCTAGATGGTATTTTGGGGAGAGTTTCTTAAAACCCTAGTTAAGAGGCTGCCTCTTGTAGCTTTTCTCATGGTCAGTGATAAGCCCTTTTTCTGTTTGTGAACAATATTCATATAAGAACATCATGATGAAGCTATTGTAAAATGGGTGCTGGCCATATTCCAGGTTTTGATCCACTGTATTAGAAAGGGCTCCAATTCCTTTACACCTTGGAACTTCTTTGCATTCTGATTGTTACCAACAATGCCTTATTAATGCAACTAAAAGCAATGCCACACTCTAGCCTGCAGATCCATATTTGTCAGAAGTATTAATCTGAAAATTGTATAACAAAGTCTATTTATTTTCAGAATATTTTGAATGTGTTTTGGTTTGGTCCAAGGAGGTATGATGTCCTAGTCTGAGTTGTATTTTAAGTCCAGTTCTTTCTTTTAAAAATGGTTTTCAATATTCATGCTATAGAAGTTAAATAATTTTGATCTTATATTGATAAATGTGAACCAAATCAAGACATTAAAATTCCAGTTAATTTAATCTTTTTACTGGGTCTTTGTCTGTTGCTGGCAATGGAATATGTAGAAATGAAGGCTCCTGTGGATATGTGTGTTTTAGTGTTTTTTATAATAGTGTGAAAAGGTAGTTCTCTTTTGAATACTTAAATTCTTAACATTTATTGTCACCTTAATAAAAACAGATTTTAGTAAGTAATGAACTGAATTTTAGTGATGTTTTTCAAATCATTTAAAGTTGCTTACAATTGGATTAGCACAGGAGTTGTTGAAATACATTGTACACTCTCTTTTTGCCTTGTGGTATCGAGTACTCCAAATTATGTCTATTTGACATTCTTTAAATGTAACCTGCAGCTTATATAATCGTCTAACTTTTGTGCCCATTATTCATTAAAAAGGATAGAAATGGAAATGAATTGATGGGAACTTTCCATTAGATAAACAAAACATCAGAAAGTTTCTAACCTATGGTTATTACATAGTTATGTTTGTAATTTGTATAGTTAAACATGAATTACTTGATTTAGACACAGAAAGCAATTTTCCCCCTCTTTGAGGTTTGATTTGGACTTTGAGCCTAGAAAGCTAAATGCTGGAGGTTAATATATTTGGATAGGAGTCAGTACTGAGCAGTACATTGAAAGATTCTTGACTCCTGACATTCCTACTAACTGCCTTAACCATATTTCCAGTAATAAGGTGGATAAATATTGGCTGCTTCATTCAGTCATGAGGGACATATTTCTGAAACAAATTTGTTTTTGTCAACATAAAACATAGAGCCAGATTAAGTTTTGAGACTGTCCACCTTAAATCATACATGATACTTGGCAATTTCCGAAATCAAAATACTGTTTTGTGGAGGTTGCTGAAGAGGGAGGAGGTTTTAATTGGATAACTTTAACTATTACATATCTTTAACATTAAAACTGGGATGACAAAGGTTCATGAGTGTATGAATTCATAAACAGAACTCACCACTGCCATCAAATAAATTGTGTAAATCAGCGTCTGTATTTTACACTAGACTGCCCTGTATGTTTGATGGTGTGAAACTATAATGAGAAGAAACGTATCTCATTCCATGAAAGCAGGCTTATCTGGAATGATGAGCTCTTAGCCCTCCAAGATATTAAAATACAGTTATGCACAGTACAAAATAAAGCATGTTCAGTTTAGGTTTGGGTTTGGGTTGGAGTCATTCATCATTTGAAATTATATCCAGTTAACTTAAGTGGTCATCATACGCATATGCTGATGGAGTAAATTAACTTTTTTGTTAAGTGTTGAAGAATTTGTTTTTGTAGCTGGAATTAATGATTTCTTTCTTTGTTCCTTCTCTTTCTTTGTCAGATGGAGATAAAAACAATGCAAGCTTTTAATTTTTTTTAAATTGTCTTCAAATTTTGTTGCTTTCATATAATTTAATTCCATTCTGTTATTTAATGTTACCACAATATTAACTACTGTATTTGTCTATGTTTAATGATTCTTTCAGGGCTAGAAATAAACATTTTTAAAATGATTGAGGGTTCTCATTTCTTCTCACCCCACACCTTCTTGATTAAATAAGAGGATTAGATCAATCAAAGAACATTTTTGTTTAGCTGTGTATGGCTATGATGATTCATTGGAGCAGACTTGCAGTATAATTATAATTTGTCTTCAGAGCTTCCATGACAGCCAACCAGCAGAGACATCTTGGTGCTAATGATCACTATGTTCATTGATGTTAATGGAGGATAATTTAAAACCTTGATGCAAGTTGAGGAAATAATTTTTGTAATAGAGGGTCAAAACAGTGAGAAAGAAAGGATCACCCTGGAAATCCCCCTCCCTTCATAGCAATGAGGCTTTAAACTAGCATCCATTGATAGCAGTGGAGATGATTTTAAAGCCTCGTAGGAAATGTGAAGAAAAAAGCTGCTTTTGAATTATGGTGCTGGTGAAGTATACTGTGGATGCAGTGAACCACTGAACAAATCAATTGATATTGGAGGAAATCAAGTCTAAGCTTTTAGACCAAGGGGTCAAATGACAAGACTACGACTTTCATATTTTGGATGCATGCAAAGAGAAAACTCAAGAAAAAGTCATGCTTGACAAAGTTGAAAGAAAATACAAAAGGAAAGATTTGCAAGGTGATGATTGGAACAATAACAATTACCATGGGTGCCCCTCTAGCAATGATTAGTCACCTGACTGAAGACTGAGCACTTTTCAAGACAACTGTCCAGAAGGCTGCCATGAATCAACATTGACTTGAAGGCAGGAAAAGCTTTTATCGCTAGTCAGTTGTTCAAAGAGTAAGAGGTTTTGAATTCAAAAGTTTCAACTGCTTTGCCCTTGGAGTCACCTGCTGGTTTCACTGCATTCTGAACCAGTTCCAAGGTGCAGCTTATTAATGTTCTTACTTGGAAAAAGAAAATCTTAAATGGGGCTTCTGATAAAAGAAGACCAAAGGTGAAATTCTGGTTAGAGCAGTTGTGAAGATAAGAGCAACATGGTGTCACATATGTTGGTTTCCCCAGACATTTCTGTGACCCTATCAACTTGGTGCCTATCAGACTCTGCCACGTTTTCTTAAATATGCTTTTATGGGAAGAATAGCAAATATCCTGCCCCTTCCCTCTCCATGCAGTGAAGATTTTTTGAGTTAGAACATCGTATCTCTCCAGTGTAGTTCTCAGAATGTCTGGACTGAATGTCTCAATCATTTTTTTCTTCTCAGTTATAACTTTTTGTGAATTTGCTAGCAGATTCTTCAAGAGAATTTTTCCATCTAAGGTGTATTTTTGTCTTGCTGGTGAATTAGCCAGTTCCTTCCAGATATGTGCTTGCTACCTTGAATTGAGGATGCTGAGGGAGATTGGCCCATGGGGTGGTGGCTTTGGCCCAGACGTGAGCCTAACCCTCTTATTTGTAGTCTTCTTAGCTCATGGTGCCTCTTCTGATGGAACTGCTGCCAACCCTGTTGCCTCACTTCAGGAATTTCTAGCTTTGGAATGTTCTTTTGCAGGCACTATTGTTAAAATTTTGGCCCAGTTTCTAGGGATGGAAGCAGCTTGTGCTTTTACCAAGAAATATTGGTCCAAGGAATTTACAGACTTCCACATGATTCAGAACTTAATAGCCCAGGACTGCAGTTCATCTCTCAATACTTCTATCTCCCATGGCATTTTTATAGAAGCCATGGGTTCCTTTCTTTTCCAGTTAATCATTCTCAAGCTTCAAACCTGCTCTCCCATGTACAAAGTTCCTGTTGTGGCACTCAGTATCACTGCCTTAACCTACACAGGTAAGGACTGCTATCCAATCTGAGTTTTTGCCATGATAACATTAAGAAATTACAACAGCTGTTTAATACATGCAGCATTTCTGCATATCCATGGCATGCAATTAAATATGTTTCACTGCTTTCTCACGTTTTATTCACATCAGCATGAAGGTGGTTATAACTTGTCTTTCCGACTTCAGAAGTAATCAGAAATGGAAACAAGTCTCGGAACATTCACTAGAGATTAATGTTGGAGGGATTTTTCTTTTTTTTAACATAGTGACCTCCTTAGTGAAAATAAAAAGGATATTCTCCCAGAATATATTCTTGACATTTGCTATAGACTTATGAGATACGGTACTGCTGCTTTTGGGCCTCTGCCCTTATGGCAAAACAAAACACAGAATCCAGCATAGTATAATGGTCCAGTTCAGCTAAACATCAGATAGTAAGAGTCATCAGATGGGAACAAAGTATTAAACAATTGCTTCTTTGCTTACTTTATCGATTCTCATTGCATTTGACATTGATTGCTACCCAACAGCAGCAAACAGTTGAATCTTCTGGCTGCTAAAGACACTGACTGCTGCAGTGCTGCTGCTTTCAGGTTTAGTATAAACATTTTGTCATTTAAACTAAATTTTTGTTTGCATTGCTGTTGTCCATTTCTACCTTAGAAGGTTAAATTCTTTGGTAACTAGGACTGAATATTCTGCATTGATTCAATTCTGTATTGAATCTCTGTGGCTGAATTTTGAGTGCAGACCTTTCATCCCTCTGTTATATCCTTCAGCCCCTTTCTGGATCCTTTGCTGCTGATTCCCAGTGATACCTTGCCATGCCAGTTTAGGCTATCTTGCTTAGTTGTTTTCACTGGTGTACCTAGATCCATCTTTCCCCAAACTGATACCCTCCAATGATGATGGTTACTGACTCTTCGGGATTAAATTCTGGGAACTGAAGCTCTAGCACATCTGTAAGGTAGCAAGTTGACAAGGATGCAACTTGAATAGAATAAATAGTAGTGATCAGCAGTTGCAAGGTATAGGATGAATCAACAATGTGCAGGTAAACATCTATTTTCAAAAGCAGAACTGTGACCATATCTTTGGGTATGGTTGAACACCATATTATATACAATCTGCAGTGTAGGATAACACAGAAAATATACTAAGCAATAGGATCTATATCACAAATGAAGTACAGCAGTGGCAATTGAACAAAATGTTGTCATTCTTCTAGAAATTGCCATTTATCTGTCAGCTCAGATTAAAAAAATAATTTCTGAACATCCATGACAGATGATGAATGGAGGCAATGTTAAAGCCTTATACTAACTCATATAGAAAAAAATAGTGAAGAAGCACATGACAGACTCATTCTACCTTCCCCTTAGGCTATGTAGTAGAATTGCAAAAAAAAAAAAAAAAAAAAGGCCAGGAGCTAGCGGAGTGTATCCCTTTCTTATGTGCATGTTTTTACTTTTTAGGTGATAAGCCTAAACCAGTAGTTTTATGTATTATGCCTTTGGTTTTTTTGGACATGATGTCAGAATAACATGGTGGAAATGTTTATCTCAGACCCTTAATAGCATGATCTTAAATCCTTGATTACAAGGTTAGCTGACTGGTGTAGGGACCTAGACTGGCACGGGCAGGCATGTTTCCAATCTCTATCCATGGATGATGGAAACTTTTAGACACACATGCCAGGATTTGGGAAGATATTTCTCAACAGAAGTGATGGGTTAAGAGGGAAAAGTATATATTCTCTAAATCACCCTTAAGAGGTGAACCTCAGTCTAGACCTACCTAGGAAAGGTGCTGTATGCTACCTGGAATAATCTGGGAAATATCTGTAGCTGCCTTTTATGAAGGATGTGAGATTTTGTCTTGTATTTACACTTCTCTTTTGACTGTTACTGTATCTTGTTTTATCGCCTTGTCTATGGATATTTCCCATCAATATTGTACTTTGCAGTTAGTTACTATTTTGCTATGCTTTGCTTAATAAACCCTTTCAGCTTTTACCTCACTGGTGTGCTGATTGCTTTCTAATCCACCAATCTGCCCACATTTTAGTGTGGCAAAACAGATGGGGGAAAGTGCTGTTGAATCCCTCTTGAAGTGGCAAACCATTAAATCTAGCAACAGTCCTAGGAACCAGGTATAAAATATTGGCAGCTGAAAAAGTTCCACACATCTTAAAGTTGTTGAGGTTGAGAAACACTGCTCTAGATTGACTGTTCATTACCAAAAGCTACCTGAAAGAATTGAAAATTCAGTACTTGGGGTGGAATTCCTCCAGTCTTTTAATTTTTGTTCTAATTTGAACATCTTGAATCTGATTAACTGTGACACATGTTCCTGCATACACCAGACTGAGAAGAAGAGATGGATTAAACTGTTTGCTTTTCCTCTGCTGCAGCTGCACCTGTCACAGGTGCCTTTTTTAACCCTGCCTTGGCCTCTGCTATGACCTTTGCCTGCTCGGGAAACAGCTTATTGGAGTACATGCAAGTGTATTGGCTGGCACCCATCTCAGGTGAGGCACTTCCCAAAGACTGCAGGAGTTGCAGCAATCCTTGTAACTGTACATTAAGGTTCATTTGAAGGAACTGTGAGGATCAAGCCTAATACAGGTGGTCCTCACTTAATGGCCACATATTCAGTGACCGTTCAAACTTGCAATGGCTCTGAATGAGTGGTACTTACAACCAGTCCTCGAAGTTCTGGCCATCACAGCATCCCACAGTCACATGATCACCATTTGCAACCTTCACTGCTGGTTTCCAACAAGCAAACTCAATGGAGAAGCCAGCAGTGAAGGTTGCAAATGGCAATCTCATGACCAGCAGCTACTTGTGGCTGAGCCCAAATTGTGCCCTGCTCACTACACCATCCACCCAAACGGACTTCCTTCCTTAACTCTGTCTATTTACCACCACCACCTGGGGCTGCACATGCTGCATTTTATCCCCTTCCTTGATGCCACAGAGCTGTGGCTTTTCTCTCTCTTCCTGCTCAAAGCAGCTTGGAGGCGAACAGAACAAGCTGCAACTGCCTGGGCTGCAGCTGACCCCACCCAGCTCCTTCCAGCCTTATCCCCTGCCAGGGCTTTCTACATTGCCAGGAATGGCAGAGCAGCAGGCACACTCTGTATCTTCATCTTCCACTGCATTGCTGCTTCCTGGCTGGGGGATTTGCTGGCTGGGGGATTTGCAGAGAATGCCTCCTGGATCCCAGGCTCTGGACAGCCAAGATTAGCTCCTGCTCCCGTCCCTTCCCATCTGGCTCCCTCCCTCCCTCTGATTCCTGGTTGAGCTCTGGATATGCATTGGCCAGTGCTTGGCAGGCATGTCTAAGCTGAGTTCTGCCCTTCTGCAACTCCCCTGCTTCCTCCTCCAGCCGATCAAGGCTTAGCTCGCTACACTGTCTCAACAAGATGGTGGGGTTTGTGGCAGAGAGGGATGCGTTAGTAGGTGGCCCATTTCCTAAATAGTTTGCTGGTGTCCCAGGGAGGGGGCGGCAAGCAAGGTGAGTGGTGAGAGTTGCGCTTAATGACAGTGTGGGATTCACTTAATGACCAAAGCCATGTTGGTTCTTTCTGGAGAAGACTTGTCTTCCCATGAGAACGTAAATTATTCAACAACCTGGGAAATGTTAAGTAATGTTATGTTAACTAAGAAAAGAATAATTTTAATTACCTATGAAACAGGAAATGGAAAAACATGTAGCTCAGTCAGTTTTCCCTTACAGAAATAGTTTTGCATGTGTTTTAATAACAGAAAATATGGAAAAAATAGTAGAATTGAATCAAAATAGGATATGGTTAAGACAAATTAAAAGGTGGTGCTGGTAATAATTATCCTAAATTGACTGCATTAAACAAGTTAAATATATAACTTTAAATTAAAATGTAACTCTCCAGAAGCTTAATTCTGACCTTCAACAGCAGCATATCTTGAAGTTTGAAAGTTAAGCCTCTAATGGAAATTCATAGTCACGGGGCAGCCAGAACTATTAACATTAAAAGAAAACTTACTCCATGGATTTTTGCCAGAACTGAAAGCATACACATTCACTCACAGATTGATCTGTTCTCCCTACCTCTCAATATCTCCAATGTACTTGTCCCTTCCTGGTCACCATCACAATTTCTTCTCATTGCTATGCACAAAAAGGCTAATTAAATATTAATACTATTATTCTGACCTGCTTACATAATCCTTTGGAGTAATGTTGCTTATCTTAATTACTAAAATACTGTTTAAGGAAGCCTTTCAAATATACAACCAAAGCAACCCATAAATAAGGCTTTTAAAGGGGAAATACTGTAAATAGAAGTACAAAAATCCATTTTTCTTTCATGACTTTTGGTGGGCTTGCTCTTTTTTTTCCAGTCTGAGAAAAATACTTGAAGCCTTATCAACCATACAGATTTTATTATTAGCTTTTTTTGCCCCAATAAATCCATTGGGTTTTCAATGGAATCTGTGCTGGTGATTGTGGAGGTTTGCATGAAGAGAGAAGATGCGTTGTCTGGCTAGAACCTGTTGAATGGTTTTATATTTTTCTCAAGGCTGGCTTAAAACTCTTTACTATCTGTGGAAAAACACTCTCCTTCCCATTCCACATATAGAAACAAACTCAGCTGGCCCCTGAAACTTATTTCAACAATGATCCTAGGTTAGCATCTTCCGTTGCATCTGAGAGCTGCAGACTAGGTTAGTTGCAGAGGGTTAGGCTGGCTTCCTGGTTCACCATTCAGCATGTTGTCACTGTTCTGTAACCTATGGCATCTACTGGTCTTGATTCCTACTCACTCTTGCCTCAGAAGAGAAAAGGATACTTTGTTTGAAATGAATCATAAAATCAAATAGATGAAAATTTCCTGTTGCTGTTTTTTCCCTCCCAGGAATGCTGTTAGCTCTCTTTGTATATCAAGGAAATATTCCGCGCTTCTTCCAGACAAACCTGCTTTATAGTCAAAGGAAAAAATACAGGACATTTAAAAGGAAAGTAACACCAATCTGTCATTGAAGAGAGGCAGACAAAAAGAGAGAAGACGACCAGCAGCTCTGGACTGGCTAACAGAACAGAATGAAAGGGATTGACACTGCTGGACAGGAGGCAAAAAGTTCTTCCAGTACCTACTTTTCTGTGTAAATGGCAATTAAGGCACTTGCAGTGGGCACTGATTAGAAAGGGCAGTTCATGTGATAATATAGTGTTCCCTAAACTGGGACCTTCTAAATGTGTCAGATTTCAACTCCCATAACTCCCAACCAGCATGAAAATTTTGCCATGGCTTGAAATACCGGGAGTTCTAGTCCAACACATTAACCAGCACAAAGTTGATGAAGAGTGTACTATTGGATGCACAAAATAGTAGGTTTGTGTCAATAGTTACAAAGGCATGTATTCATTATGCTAATAGAACTTCAATTCTACATGTTCAGGCATCTTCCTAGAAAGTGGCTATTCCTAGGAAGCTGGGGTGTTCTTCAAACTATGGCATGCTTTTGAACAGAAGACTGCCTTTATAGTATGGCGTAGAGTATAATTGAAATAAGTAGTGAAATTTGAATTAATAAAAGTTTGAATTGCACATTTGATTTCCTATGAAAAAATAAAATTTTACATAAAGTAAAATGTTATATGACACTTTTTTCAGACTCTTCCTGAAAATTAATTAATATAAGAGGCAGTCTTGGTTTCTTTAATGCAGTTGTCCCTATCTGGTGCTGTCCAGATGTGTTGGACAATAACTCCTGTTAGAGATATCCTCAACAGTTTATTATAGATACTCTGTTGTGTTACCATTTTTGCTATGTTTTAAGAGTTGCAAAATTATTAACCTGTTTAATGTTCTATCATTCTTTATCTAAATGCCAAGCCTTGGATGTGTTGACATGTTTCCCCTTTATTAATTGAACATTTTGGGGGCAGAGGTCAAAGAAACAAGTGATACTTCTTTCTCTCCCCCCCCCCCATATAATTCAACATTTATTAATTGAACATTTTGGGGGCAGAGGTCAAAGAAACAAGTGATACTTCTTTCTCTCCCCCCCCCCCATATAATTCAACATTTATTAATTGAACATTTTGGGGGCAGAGGTCAAAGAAACAAGTGATACTTCTTTCTCTCCCCCCCCCCCATATAATTCAACAGTATGCAATAGGAAATCTTTTATCCCACCTGGTCTAAGCCATACTTGCTGGGATATTGGGAGTTGTTATCTAGAGCATCTCCAGGTTGCAGGAAATTGTTCTATCAAGATGAAGCAAGTAAAAGATATCTGTTCTATAGCCTTCAGGTGCTGACCCCAGCATTTAGACATCTGATATTGAATACAGAGGTCAGTTTATATAGCTCAGTTTACATGATCTAAGATTTCTCCACTGTCTTAAAAAACAAGATATGCTTTTTTCATATGATTTGCTGCAGTCCTTTGTATAATCATATACTATGCCATGGAAATCACTGAGTAACCAAAAAGTACTTTGCATTTTATCTCTGTGTTTTTCATTTTTTCCCCAAAGAAGTTATCACAGTCTTGTCTAAACCAACGCCCTCTAGATGTGCTGGCTATCAACTCTCACCATTCCCAGACATCAGTCCAACACTTCTCAAAGTACCAGGTTGGGAGGCCAGTTTTCACAATTAAAAACTATTGAAAATGTGCAAAACAATTTTCCTTGTGCCAGATTCTGCCATATCAGACAGGGAAGGAGAAATTACAATAACATTTATTTATGTCATTAGCACAGCCTTTCCCAATCTTGTGATCTCCTGATATATTGGGCCACAACTGCCATAATTTCCAGCCAGACTACTTGCCAAAGTTTGCATTAGCAGTCTTCATTTTCTATCATCATCATCATCATCATCATCATCGCAGGATAGCTTTGCAAAAGTCAAGCTGCCAGCTTTGTTGCAAGTGAGATCCAATTTTTACATTAATTAATTAATTAATTAATTAAACTTGTCCCTGCCCATCTCCCCCCAATGGGGGACTCTGGGCAGCTTACAATGTATTAATGCTGATTTTTCCCTCAAAAGGCTATGAGGAAATATAAAATCCTTATACACATGATGATTCTTGAATACAAGCACAGAGAAATCTACTCCCGTTTTTATGCTTACTGCATTTTCCTCTCTGAAGATATTATGCTGCAGTGTTTAACTCTTTCTCATTATTTCTTAGAGCTCCATTAACAGAGACATGGGCTCCCTTCCGATAAAGTAGCTATCACTTCTGACATACGTATAATAAGCATATGTAACTGTGATATATTCTCCAAGGTCCCCGTCTGGTGGTGTATGAAATATCCTTTTTTTAAGAAGTGGTCAAATGTTAACACTTGGAAGCAAAAGTACAGTGGTAAAAGAACTGAAGCTCTTAACTGGGAATTCCTTCAAAGCACCATTTCTTTTAAAATTGATCTGTTGAGTTCTGTCATCCCGTCATTGTAAGTCTAGGATTCTTTACTTGTTTGATATATTGATTCTAAAGAGATCAATATATATTGGTGTATCAGCTACAGATAAGGAGAAATTCTGCTAAGTACTGAGCCACAGAAAATCAGGTGATAGTCCCTGAAACACAAATATTGTATCAGGCTTTTATGTGTATGAGGGAAGATTTACTTTTATCTCCTGTGTTTGTAGATTATATGTGAGGAACTCAGTTGCTGATTGGTGTGACAATCCAACTTTTGCTTGTGTCTGTTTTTTTCCTCCTACCAATGCCTAAATGTAAATAATGTGTTTTTAGAATCTAGAAGGAGGAAATCCATGGGATTCAGGAATTGTGTTGGCAACTTATAGAAATTCAGGTTGAGGAGACCTGAAATGTGTAGGTTTTGTTTTCCATCTGGGTCAAAATATCTGAAGGTTCCTGATAATAGAAAAAATAAAATGTTATGCCTGGGTATGTTTTCTAGCTGGTCATTTATCCTGGTTCCGTCCCGTTCTGTAGTCTTGATGTCATGATATGAATCTGAATCCAGACACTTCCTGTGAGCGCCAGGGTGACCTGGCCTCCTGCTTGTTAGTAGGACAGGGTTTGAGAGAAGAATCAGCTGGATGCTGGATCTGGACTGGCGAAATCTCTCTGGAAGAAAGAGAGATCATTGAGATTATCCATGTGACTCTGGACAGCTGCTCCTCGTGAGTAGACCATGGAAACTGCCATTTTGCAGTTGGCTTATGAGTGGAGTGGCTGGGAGTTTGGATTTCGTCAAGCTCACCCTCACAAAGCAGCCTTTCATGGACATTAAGTTCAACTGAGCCTCATTTCTTAATCACCTTTTTGGGTTGTTATTTTTTTTCTTGTTTACTGGAGAGATTAAGACTCTTTAGATGGGCAAGGTTTTATTCTATTCATCAGGTGAGCGTTCTCTTCCTTAAAGGATGATGGTGTATATTTGATTTTAAAAGCTTTGAAAATCTATGATTTTTTGGACTATGCAGCAAAAGGGTGGTTAGTATATGGATTAAGTTAACAATGGATTAAGGGGCCAGAGAGATTTAGAATTATAGCTTTGAATTAGATTTTTTCTCATGAGAAAATGGCGATTGTTTTTGATTTGGCTTTTTCAACTATAAGGAGATCTTGAAGACTGGACACTAGAGGGAGTTAAAGAATATGGACCAAATAAAGACTAGGGAGCAGAAATCTATATTACAAATTTTTGAATATCCCTCTACCAAGCTGCTTGATAGAATGGATCAATTGCTTATAAGATGGACAGAGTGTGTTGTAATGAAGTTTATTTATTTATTTATTTATTTTTCAAATTTGTATGCCGCCCAAGTTATAGAACAAGAACAAGTTGCAATGGATGTCTATGAAATTACTTGGAAGGGGGACTTAAATGTAACACTAATGGATGACTTATTTCCTAACAGAACTATACAGATATCAAACCAGGAAACTGATTTGGATAATTTTCTCTTACTGGATATACAAAATAGCTCTGTTAAGGTTTTGAAGGACTTTATTACAAGTGACAAAAGGATAAACTTTATTTATTGGATATACAAAAGAAATTTGTTAAAATTTTGAAAGATTTTTGCCTCTACCTCTGGGACTTTCTTTGAAGGGGCTAAAGAATATTTTTAAAAACTCAAGGAATGAATATAAGGTTGATTTGTTTGATCAGGGATAAAAGAGGAAAAAGTTATATCTGGTTGCCCTTACTGGGCTTTTGCTGACAAAGAACAATTGACAAAGCATTTGGATTTTGTTTTTTCACTTAAGAGATGAGCTATGAGGAGAAGAGAGTTTATGTTGTATTTAGAGATGTGATAAGCTATTAAACTTGTCTTTATTTGCTGGGATGAAGAGGGACGTCACTTCTTATTTTCTTTTTTCTCTCTTTTCCCCACCCCCCTTTTTTCTTTTGTATTTTGCTGTTTGTATTTTTTGTACTTTGTATTGGCTTTTATTCTTTTCATTTATAATTCTTAATAAAATTATTTGAAAAAAATGATATGAATCTGAATCCAGTCCTAACTAAAGTGTCTCTCACTGATTTGTTCTATAGTTGTGTAGTCTGAATAAGTAAGCAGGGTTACTGAACTTCAAAGCTTTCTTGAGGAACTGCTTCCTGTACAGGAAATGACTATACTGAAGTTCAGGTGTCACCATGCGCCGGCACATCTGCCTTGTTGCCTTATCCAGTTCAGGCCTCAGGTTGTAGCCAAGGATTTTTGCGCTGCCATACTGCAGTGGGACTAATGCCTGGTCTCTAATCTTCTTTGGGGATACACTGTCACCTTCTTGAAGGCAGATTTTTGCCAGCTGCTCCTGCTTTTGCTGCAATACCTTCACTTCCTGCTTGAGATGCTCCTTGCCGATATATAAATATATCTTTTTCCAAAAAGTCTTGTTGAAATGCATATAGAGTTCCCAGTCTAGCTTATTCCATCTCTTTAATTTCTCTATAGTATCTTCTGAAAGTTGCGTCTTGGTAATACTGTCTCTTCTGTTGAGAGGGAATGAGGCAACATCATCTAAGTCCCAGCACAAGATTTTCTTCAATAACACCATGGATTCATCAAAATACTCTGAGATGAGGACTAGATTAAATTCTGCTTCAATGGCTCTTATTATGAGTTGAATATGCTCTATTGAGAAATTTCCATTGTGATTATATCCAAAATCAAACGCCATTAGATTCTTGGCATAATGGCTGTCATTGGCTGTGGCGTTGTAAAATAGGGATGTCTGGTTGAGAAATTCTTCCAAACTTCCGGCTTTGGCAAAGGGGGACATTCCTTTGTAATAAGCAAATGAAGATTCCATGAGGTGAACAGGATTCCGAAGGATGGTAAAATACAATGTACTACTTGGCATGACTTTGGCAATCTGGGATTGAGAGTAAAGGGAAAAGGATTTTTTAAGGAAAAACATACTCTTCCCCCCCCCCCAAATATCTGAATCACAAAATTCAACAGTTTCATTCTTTCCCTGAAGCTCTGACCCATATACTTATCCTGTTTTTAACCTGCTTCTGTTTTCCCTCTTATTTTCCTTCTCTTCCCTGACTGTAACCCCTCAGAGTAGGGGCTTACTTTCTCAACATTCATATGGTGTCATGCATATGGATAGCATTATATTCATTAAGCTCTAATTAAATTCAGATGGGGAGCACTTTCATGCTAGTATTAGCCATCCATCACTGTGGAAATTCAAATCTTGTCTATATGAGGGATTTATTATCATGACAAGGTACGAGAAAGAATATGTTATTGACTATGGATGCGTACATTGTTGATTTAGAATAAGTGAACGATAAAGGAAATGGCTTGAATTATAGAATGTTTTATGGGAATACAGATTGAAGGTTGGCTACTGAATGCAGTAAGAACAGTAGAAGTAAAATGTGTGAGAGTGAATGGAATGCTTAGTAAATGGTTCAACACTGAGTTGGAAGTAAGACAAAGATGTATGAGTCTATAGGATTGTTTAATGTATTTATAGATAAATATAGAAGGGCTGCTTGTGATGACATTAGAATTGTGTTTTGATTGCAAATAGAGGCTAAGGAAAGTACCTTCTGTAAGACATTATGCTGAGGCTGAGAAAGAAAGAAAGAAAGAAGGAAGAATATCCCTAAACAGAAACAATCAATAGACAGGAGTTCCTATTACAGGTTTATCAAATAAACTGACTCGTAATCCATCATGCAAACATTCTGGGAAAAGGAGAGTTAAAAGCTTCAGAGAGACTCTGCCTTAATGAACTCGTTAATAAAGGATGGTTGGAGAGTTCCTATTTTAGTTCTCAAAATTATGTAATAAAGGATGGTTGGAGAGTTCCTATTTTAGTTCTCAAAATTATGTACTCTGAACCCCAATTCCTGGCATTAAAACTCATTAAGGAAAATCTATAAAAACTTACTTCCTTGATCATTCTCTGCACTTAAGTGGTATGATCCTTCCCAGTGCTACTGTCGCTGATGTCATTGCATGACATATCCCACTTGTCTGTCCACCCCTAATCCTGCCATTACCTTCACACAGATATTTCCTTTCCTACCACCCACTCATTCCTCCAATATTCACAATATCTTCCCACTGATTTTCCTGTTGCTAATCTCTGCTGGCCTACCCACCAACCAGCCAGCCCACCTACCTAAATTCCCAGCACTTTCCCAGAAATGTCAATAAAACCTCAATTTAATGGACTTAACTACTTTGGGGGGCGGGGAGGGAGGTCTGGATTCAAATTTTATCTCTTGCACTTCAAGTCCATTAAATGGAAGTCCATTAAACTGAGCTTTTGCTGTATGCAGATGACGAGAAACCATATGATTTGCAGTGGATGTTAGATAAATTGTATGATCCAACGAGCGGTATGAATCTGAAAATTAACATATCCAAGACTAAGGTAATAGAAAGGTATAGAGGGATATAGTTTGCTCTAAATAAGATTGGGTTAAATTTTCTTTTTTGTTCTCTTTTTCCTTTGTGTTTTTCTTTCTTACTTTTTCTGTCTGGGGTGTCTACATGATGGGGTCAAGATAGCAGCCTCAACCATGCAATCAAAACCCCACCATTTTTACGTGCATTGCGCCCCATGGTTGTGGCTACCAATCTTGACTTTTTTGACCCATTCCCTGCAGAGATCCCTGTTTTCTGTGCTTTGCTTAAGGGAATAGCATGATGGATATAGTATTGTCTGCAATCAAGATCTGGCATACTATTTACATTATAAACTGATCAGTTTAACTTTATACTGCTGTGATTCCATTCTGCTCAGCATCACTCTCCCAATTAGAAAGAGGCTCATCTCACAATGAAGTACCTCCATTTCTAGTAAGAATATAAGAGATGAAATAGACCAAAGGCTATGTAGTACAACCTGTTGTTCCCAAAATGTCTAATCAGAGACCAATGGGAAATCCACAAGCAGCACTGGAGCATAATTGCACTTTTCTAATTTTGCAATAATTATTGAAGGCAACAGGTGTTGAAGACATTCCAAAACTTCTCTGAGTGACCTTCCCATACCTTACAACGTCCATCTTTCTTTTGCCACTGGAGATTCTCTTCTTAACAAAATTTGTAACTTTTCTACATGTGAATGAAACTTGCTTCCTCCAAAATTATGTGAAAAAGTTCTGTCTCTTACCTCTGGCTGAAAGAACCTCATGTGATGACACATAATGTTAAATTGGGAATCTTTGTCTGTAGAAAATCCTTCCACAGCTGATGCTGTGAAATAATGGGGGTAGTTCAACTGACTGGCACCATTGATTGGCAAGGCAAAGGTGAGACTGTGCATCTCCCCAAAACGAAACAAGATGTTCATGACAGTACTGCTGGCACTCTTGTGCATTTTTAGGAAAACAATATAAGTCCTGGCCTTGCATGTTGCATGAGCATGAGAGGAGTTGGAGAAGCTTCCTGTAGATGTTCTTCCACGCTTTGGAAAACTCACTTCAATTGCTTGAGATGACTTGCTTCCTGGATTTACTGCTGCCATCTCAGCTAGTCTTTTCCCTTTTAGGACATCATGAACCTGTAATTTGGTCACTGCTGCAGCATGTTGAGATTGGTTTCTCCACTGGTCTTGAATACTAAGGGGATGATCATCTGCTATGATCCCTGTTCCCAATGCTGTTCCCTTGATCAGGGAGGTTCTAGTCTTTGTGTCAGCAATTGACTTTGTAATGCCAATAAGGGTTACCACTACCTGATCTCTTGCAAAAATCTGTTTGGTGGCATGGTTCTGGTCTCTCAGTCTTTTGGTTGCAGGGATGGTCCACGCTCTCTCAGCACCCATTATGGTTGGTTTTTGCCAGAACTTTTCCTTGCTTCCCAAGCTAGCATCCAACAGTTCAGCTTTCTTAAATGCCCTATGGAGTTCTATGATATGTGTATCATCTTTCTCTCCTGAATTAAGCCTCAGCCCTAGCTGCTTCAGCCTGTTTTGTGGAATGCTCTTCTGTGTATGTTCTGATTGAAGCTCAGCAGGAACTGGGTTTATCTGAACCTGGAAAGACTTCTTGTATGGTTTGCTTTCTTTGGAAGCAAGCTGCTTCTGTTTCAAATCACACCTGCAATTGCTATGGAAAGCACAACACAAATCCTTTAGATGTGGTTATCAAGGCCATCTCCTCCTACCCTAAAGTAGCTATCTGCAGCAAGCCATAATATCAAACAGATGACATATGCATCCTGATGCCATTGTTCAAGTGGTAACACAAGAACATAAGTATATGAATGTTTCATGTACTTTTGCTGTGGCAGTGGTTCATCCCCCTGTAACATCCACAATCCTGGTTGCCCACACTTCACAATCCAAAAAAGGCCTGTGGGAAGAATTCCCTTGGAATATCTCACTTTGGTTGAAGCATGGGAAATCACAGAATTCCAGCTGCTGGAGGAACCATTTCACAGGCCTGTATTATGCCTTCCCCACATTCCACCAAATTATATATTTTTTCTTTCTCTCTCTCTGTGAACAAAAGCATTTCCAATCAGGAAAGGGTTTTGTAAGGGTAGTAAAACCAAGTGATCCTTTAGAATTTCCTTATATTATTGGGATTCTGAAGAACCAAAAAAAAGAAAAGAAAGAAAAAAGATACTACAACAGGTTGCACCACAGAAATACAAAAAGGGCTGTTTAACAAGTTTGGATTAAAACTTAATGAGAGAGTTAAATTTTAATATAATCTCTTCTTTGAACTCACAGTGATAATGATCTACCTTACCGTTGCATCTTTTTTTACTTTAAAAGGGCATTGATATGACACAGATTAAACTGAATTAAACAACCAACCATCAGCATTTGTACAGATCTTTGTGTTGTGTATGATTTGTGTGTTTGTGTGTATGCATACAGTGGGTTAGACTGTCATCTTCTGCAAAACTAAACATACCTGGTACACTGGAATTTCTCAGCAATATGGAGTATCATATAGATGAAGGACAGAAACAAAAGGAGAATCCAGAACTTTCTCATTTGGCTTCTACATGTGGGCTTCCATTTCCTTTATGGGGAAGGAAAAACATTACCTTGATTGGGGCTTTGTTTTTGATAACATTTTTTGCAGAAGGCACAAACCCATGGAAGAGCTTAAATGCACGCCTCTGACACAAGCTTGATTCCTATACATGCGGGTCTCTTTGCAGGCTTGGAGAACTGATCTTCTATTGCCTTCTTTGACACTGTTTTTTCACCTACTCTCTCTGGACAACAGCCTTTGAATTCCCAGGTCCCCTACCCACTAGTAGTCAGGGCCAACCCTACTTATCTTCTGAGATCAGCCAAAGCCAATTAGGTGCCGCCACTTGCTGAAGCCACTTGCTAGACAGGAATTTGAATTGCCCTAAATGTAGACAGGTTACAGAATTAGTAGGCACTCTGCGTAAAGGGAACTACTATTAGCCACAACCTCCAAGTCTCAATAAGTTCCCACAACGCACTCTCAAAATCAGTGGGAGTTGGAGCCCCTTAGCTGGTGAATAGCAGGCTACTTATTTGCTGCCTGTGTTGGCCAAATACATGTGGCTGATTCCTGTTTTTCAGACACGAGCCAGGAACATGTGGTAGGACAAATAGATTTGTGGTCAGAATAGCAACTCTAAAGTTATTTGATTGCACTCATTACACTTTCTCCCTCAATCAATCAAACAAACAAACAAACAGAAGAAGACATGGAAGGACTGTCAGTGGATGCTTGGGGAACTAGTTAATGCTTGTGGAGTGGAAGGTCACCTAAGCAACTAAACTTTTACTCATGTAGAGGCTGCAAATAGATATGTACTGTTTCTGTGGAAATGTGAGACTGTTGTTGGTGAACAGTACCATGAGGCGTGAGTGGTGGTGGAATTGCCATAGATGAAAGACAGCACATGTCAATAATCTTGCTAGATCACTTTTCATTTCTATGGATATCATTATGCTGATGATGGTGCTGCTGGTGGAGCAGAAGTTTCACTTTGTGGTGATACTGTTTCTTGTTGCTGGCTTAGTGTGCGATATGAATTTAGCTGTTGTGAAATAATAGTTGATAATTTAGTATGTTGTATCAATCCAGTTAATTGTAGTTTACTTAACAAATCATGGTTTAGTGTGGTATGTGAATGAGACCAGTTGTTGGGTTTAAACTTTTCAAAGCATGGTTCTTGAGCAGCTAGTACTGACTTGGTTTACACTATGCTAAACCAAAACCAACAAAATAATGTCTTAATTCAGGAATAATTATATGTCCGTATGGTCAGTATTGGCCTAGATGAAACAATGTTCTACTTAAGTGTAAGGCTGCTTCCTGTACCCCAAATGCAAAAACTGAACTATGAACAACAAAAACTGAGCTAAAACATGGTTGTTCCTAGTGTATATTGTTTAGTTTTGGCTACCTTGTTATATGTCTTGAATGGGAAGGGATAAACAGCACAAACATAAAACAGTGCCAAGCAGAAGAGAACACAAGGGCCAGCCTGTAGTTTTTAATTTCTGTCTGTGTCTCAAGAAGAATCTGTTGATTTGAAGGTTTATCTGAAAAGCCCCTTTGACACTTAATTATTGTATTTGGTGCCAACGGAAACAAGTTTATTGCAGGTTAAGGAGATATGGTTAAGGTAGGCGTCAGAGATTCTGATAGACTGAGAAGGAGGTTAGAGATTATTGCCTAGGCTGAATGCTCAAAGGACTTGCATTATATTACCCACTTGATTAAGAAGAATTATAACTACTGTTCTGAAATGTGATAACTACCCATTCTGTCTGTTGTGTACGCCAGACTTATCCAATTTCTTCCATTCTCATAGATATAAATCGAAAGCTAGGCAGGTATTCTGCATGGGTGGATGCCCGACAACAAGGCCTAGAGCCTTCAAACAGGGAATAGAAAATGCAGATAAGAAGGTCAAGCAAACATGCTGTACTGTACTGTACTAAGGTGTTGTGCACAACAATATTACTGGGTGTCCAGATTTATTTATTTGTATAAATGAATTTTATAAATGGATACATAGAACAGAATGTGAAATAAATGTGAAGTATTAGGTATGTTTGCCACCTTGAGTTGACCAGATATTATAATAATAATAATAATAATAATAATAATAATAATAATAATAATAATAATAATAAT